GCGGGGGGGTGGATGTACTGGATCGCCAGACGCCGACCCTCACTCGCACTGGAGCTCACTCTTGCCCCATTTCCCCATGGCCCCCTGTCCTTACTTTCCCATCCCCAACCCCCGCACCCCCTCGCTTAAACCCCCACCCTCCCAACCGCCGCAGGCACCGAGGGCCTGGCCGCCTGGATCCCCAGGCCACCCCTGGAGGGCCTGTCTCCTGTGTTCCACAGCATGCAGGCCATGCGCGCCGGCCTGCCCGCCCCCGTGTATGTCGCGCTGGAGACCGCGCTGCGAGAGGTGGGGGCCGCCCCGGGGTCTGGCGGCCTCGCGCCCGCGGCCGCCACGGACTGGCTGTCCGGGCTGCTGGAGGAGGTGGAGGTCCTGCGCTCCCACCTCCTGCTGGCGCAGACGGGCGGCTCGGGTCCAAACGGCGGGGACGGGGCGGCTGAGGGGGAGGTGCTGGCCGCCGCCTTGCGGCTGCTGGCTGGCGAGGCGGATTGGACCCCTGAGGTCGCACCCAACGAGGCCCCCGACGCGCCGGCGGCGGCGCGCCCCGCGCTGCGCGCCGCCGCCCTCCTCCTCTGGCTCTGGTTTGACGGCCGGTGCAGGGAGCAGAACCTGCGCGTCAGGGCGGCGGGCGGCCTGCGCGTCCTCATCGCCTCCGTGGCGCCCACCCGGAGCGAGGCCCAGCTGCGGGGTCGAGCGGGCAGGTGAGGAGGCTGGGGAGTGGATGGGGGCGGCTGCAGTGGGGAGGCCAGGGTGCTTGCTGGATTGCGTTGGAGTTGGGCCTTGCGCGACTGCACGGCCTCCTCACCGGGTTCATGGCTTGGGCTGTGTCTCTGTGCAGCCCCACACATGCGCTGCGGGAAGCGTCACGAGGGACCCGACCCTGTGGAGCCTCGATTCCCTCTCTTTATATCCCCCCTCCTTTCACCCCCCTCACCCCTAACTACAGGCAGGGTGACCCGGGCGACTCCTTCTACCTCTCGCACCTGGGCGACCGCATGCTGGAGATGTACCTGGGCTCCACGCTTTCCTCGGCCGTCACCAGGCTGGGCGACGAGTCGTTGCTGTACGAGCAGCAGCCCACAGGGCGGATGCTGGTGGGGGGCGTACAGCAGCGGTACGACCACGACGTGCGCATGCGTGAGTGGGGAGGGGGAGGATGAGGGGAAAGGGGGGGGGCCTGAGGGGGAGTCCATGGTGGCGCGGAAGTTTGGTGAATGGCCGGGATGTGCGGCAATGACGCACTGCATGTGACGGGTGGGAGTGAGGCGCTTCAATGCCCTCTGGCCCATGCCCATGCCCCCTTCCTTGCCCCTTCCCACCGTGCAGGGCTGCAGCAGGAAAGAAAGCGTGACGCAGTGGTGGACCCCTACCGGCGCCACGTGTACAGCATCCGGCGGGCGCTGCTGGAGGCCGACGCGGAGGGCCTGGGCGTCTTCACGAGGGGGTACTGCGCCGACTTTGTCAGGGACGCCATGCGCGCCTTTGGCATCGAGGCGCGCGGCTCTCCGGGCGGCGGCGAGTGGGACCTGGAGGGCCTCCTGGCTGCCATCCAGGGCGCCGTCAACGGCGACCCCAGCCCCAGCCTGGCCGACCAGCAGGCCAGATTCCACGGTGAGGCCTGTATTGAGGAGAGGATGCTGGGGCCTGTTGTGAAGGGTGGGGAAACAGGGGAGCGTCACCTGGCAAGGGACTGCGCCGGCCTGGGCCGCTGCATTGCCACCCAACGCCGTGCACGGGGCCTTCAAGTCCCTAAACTCCACCTCTCCCCTCCCACGCACCCAAAGATGCGGAGAACGAGGGGCGGCTGGACCCCCGCACGGGCTTGTACCGCGTGGCCCTCAACCTGTTCCCGCACGACCTGGTGGAATCCCTGAAACTGGCCCTGCAGGGCAACCAGGAGCTGCCGTTCCCTCTGGATGCAGGCGTGCCCCTGACGCGCTCCATCCGCCAGCGGGTAGGAGGGTGTGTGTTGGGGGATGGGGCATGGGGTGTCGGCGCGTCAGTGCTTGGGTGCAGTCCGTGGTTGGCTGGCTGCTTCACAGAGGAGATGCTCAAACACAGGCAAGAGGGTTCCACCCCTGCTCACTGTCGAGGTACGCTCAGATCACGAGGCGCCCATCCACAGTCGAACTGGTGCCTCCCTTGTGCAGGCCGCCCAAGCGGCGCAGCTGCCCACCGCCCCGCCTGAGTCGGACGCCGACCGGCTGCACGCCTGGCTGCTGACGCAGCTGATCATGGCGCAGCATGCGCACCGTGCGCTGTGCCAGCGCGCCCTTGCGCGGTTCCTGGGCGCCAGCCGGGAGGAGGCGGAGGAGGCCTCGCTGCTCGCCCTGAGGGCTGCGGCCCTGGCGTGCATAGACAGCCTGTGGGCCGACTTCCTGAAGGTGGAAAGGGGGAAGATGTTCGCACATGGCGCTGGCGGGATACATGCTGACAGGGAACTGCCTCGGGACCGACCACTCCCCCAACTCTACCAAGCATGCCCCACCACACAGAACATGGAGACCCTGGCCGCCGCCGCCATGGTCCGCGCCTTCTCTCGCCGAGACCCCTGGGATGAGTTCAAGCTAGAGACGTCTGCCCTCTTCATGCTGCTGCTTCAAGGTATGTTGGGATGTGATCACAGCTCATCGTGGTTGGAGGCTCGTTGACAGGGCGCCCATCCAGAGCCCTTCCGTCATCTGTCCTGCCCCCGTTCCTCTACAACTGCAGATTTCAGGCAGCAACTGGTGGTGGCTTCCTTCCACACCTTGGACTTAGGGGGAATCCCAGTCCCGGCCGAGAGCACAGGAGCCACTTTGCATGGCTATTCTGAAAAGTCGAATGACACAGTTCCGGACCAGGCCTTGCAGCCTTCCTGATGTGCAGGCATACCATTGAACATTCTTTGCATCTAGATTCCCAGACCCAAGAATTCTTCCTTGTAGAGCACAGCACAAGGTTTGCCTTCTTTCCAAGAGAGGTGGTGTTGAATAACACCAGGTGGATTGTGTGGTGGAGGAAACGATTTACTCGTCCTTCTTGCCGGTCTTCTTGGGCAGGAGCACCGACTGGATGTTGGGGAGCACACCGCCCTCGGCGATGGTCACGCCGGCGAGCAGCTTGGACAGCTCCTCGTCGTTGCGGACCGCCAGCTGGATGTGGCGGGGCACGATGCGGGTCTTCTTGTTGTCGCGAGCGGCGTTGCCGGCCAGCTCGAGCACCTCGGCCGCCAGGTACTCCAGGACAGCTGCCAGGTACACGGGGGCACCGGCACCGATGCGCTCTGTGATAGGAGCGGAGGGGTAGGAGGGTCAATAACGGACAACTTGCAAGTCTGTATCTCGGACAGAATGAACCAACGACACATGCAGCACGGGCTTGTACCGCGTGGCCCTCAACCTGTTCCCGCACGACCTGGTGGAATCCCTGAAACTGGCCCTGCAGGGCAACCAGGAGCTGCCGTTCCCTCTGGATGCAGGCGTGCCCCTGACGCGCTCCATCCGCCAGCGGGTAGGAGGGTGTGTGTTGGGGGATGGGGCATGGGGTGTCGGCGCGTCAGTGCTTGGGTGCAGTCCGTGGTTGGCTGGCTGCTTCACAGAGGAGATGCTCAAACACAGGCAAGAGGGTTCCACCCCTGCTCACTGTCGAGGTACGCTCAGATCACGAGGCGCCCATCCACAGTCGAACTGGTGCCTCCCTTGTGCAGGCCGCCCAAGCGGCGCAGCTGCCCACCGCCCCGCCTGAGTCGGACGCCGACCGGCTGCACGCCTGGCTGCTGACGCAGCTGATCATGGCGCAGCATGCGCACCGTGCGCTGTGCCAGCGCGCCCTTGCGCGGTTCCTGGGCGCCAGCCGGGAGGAGGCGGAGGAGGCCTCGCTGCTCGCCCTGAGGGCTGCGGCCCTGGCGTGCATAGACAGCCTGTGGGCCGACTTCCTGAAGGTGGAAAGGGGGAAGATGTTCGCACATGGCGCTGGCGGGATACATGCTGACAGGGAACTGCCTCGGGACCGACCACTCCCCCAACTCTACCAAGCATGCCCCACCACACAGAACATGGAGACCCTGGCCGCCGCCGCCATGGTCCGCGCCTTCTCTCGCCGAGACCCCTGGGATGAGTTCAAGCTAGAGACGTCTGCCCTCTTCATGCTGCTGCTTCAAGGTATGTTGGGATGTGATCACAGCTCATCGTGGTTGGAGGCTCGTTGACAGGGCGCCCATCCAGAGCCCTTCCGTCATCTGTCCTGCCCCCGTTCCTCTACAACTGCAGATTTCAGGCAGCAACTGGTGGTGGCTTCCTTCCACACCTTGGACTTAGGGGGAATCCCAGTCCCGGCCGAGAGCACAGGAGCCACTTTGCATGGCTATTCTGAAAAGTCGAATGACACAGTTCCGGACCAGGCCTTGCAGCCTTCCTGATGTGCAGGCATTCCATTGAACATTCTTTGCATCTAGATTCCCAGACCCAAGAATTCTTCCTTGTAGAGCACAGCACAAGGTTTGCCTTCTTTCCAAGAGAGGTGGTGTTGAATAACACCAGGTGGATTGTGTGGTGGAGGAGACGATTTACTCGTCCTTCTTGCCGGTCTTCTTGGGCAGGAGCACCGACTGGATGTTGGGGAGCACACCGCCCTCGGCGATGGTCACGCCGGCGAGCAGCTTGGACAGCTCCTCGTCGTTGCGGACCGCCAGCTGGATGTGGCGGGGCACGATGCGGGTCTTCTTGTTGTCGCGAGCGGCGTTGCCGGCCAGCTCGAGCACCTCGGCCGCCAGGTACTCCAGGACAGCTGCCAGGTACACGGGGGCACCGGCACCGATGCGCTCTGTGATTGGAGCGGAGGGGTAGGAGGGTCAATAACGGACAACTTGCAAGTCTGTATCTCGGACAGAATGAACCAACGACACATGCACTCACCAGCGTAGCGGCCGTTCTTCAGGTAGCGGGCGATACGCCCGACGGGGAACTGCAGGCCCGCCTTGGAGGACTTGCTCACGGCCTTGCTGCCGGAGGTCTTTCCCTTGCCGCGTCCAGACATGATTGCAGAGTTTTTGGTGTGTGGGGAGATTGAAGACTTTGGGATCGGGAGGATTTTGTGTTCTGGTTGGTCAATGTCCTTCGCCTTTATACTCCGAGCGCGTTGTTACTTTTTGGTCGCGCAGACCGATCCGGTGGGTCATTTCAAGTCCTGACGCACGGATAGGTGTGCAACGACGTTGGTATATATCCACGAAGACAGTCTATTGAAACACCAAACCTTCAAGTTCCCCTGCCTTATTCCTCAACCAGCAACCAAAACTCCAAAAATGGCTCCCGTCGCCAGCAAGAAGCCCGTGTCGGCCAAGAAGCCCGTCGCGGCGAAGAAGCCCGCGGGCGACAAGAAGAAGACCAGCAAGAAGAGCGTGGAGAGCTACAAGCTCTACATCTTCAAGGTGCTCAAGCAGGTCCACCCCGACACCGGCATCTCCTCCAAGGCCATCACCATCCTGAACTCGTTCATCGTGGACCAGTTCGACAAGATCGCCACCCAGGCCTCCCAGCTGTCCCGCGTGAACAAGAAGCCCACGCTGACCAGCCGCGAGATCCAGACCGCCGTGCGCCTGGTGCTGCCCGGCGAGCTTGCCAAGCACGCCGTGTCCGAGGGCACCAAGGCCGTGACCAAGTTCACCTCCGCCTAAGCGGTCGGCCTCGACCCACCAACCCCACTGGTGTTATTCAACACCACCTTTTTGGAAACTCAAAAGTTACTGATTTGCCAGCAGTGTTGTGAAAATAAACCCTGGGGCAGAAACTTTCGTGTTATGCCATCAAGTGTCAGAGGTTTTAGTTTTGCTGAACATTGAGCAGGTCTCCCGCAGATGGGGGACCATACGGTCTTAGAATCACAGCACAGCCGATCTGGTTTGGGCAGGCAAACTTACACTGGGCGACTCATAGTGTACACAGCCACACAGAAGGTACAAAGAGTCTCGTTAAATTGACCGGGCACTGAGCAAGTCATTGCTGCCCACTCTAGAGTGACGATCAACAAATTATGC